TAATTTAACGTAAAGTTAGCGAGATCACTAAAAATGTCGGTAGTGATAAATTGAGTGAATGGAAATTTGCCGCTAATTAGCTCTTTTTCTACAAGAAAATATCGCGTTTGAAAAAAATATCATGTGTTTCGTTAACTTGACATCAAGTGAGCAAAACAGTGTCATTAAAAATGTCGGTAGAGAAAAATTGAGTGGTAGAGAAAAACTGTGGGTGGAAATTTGCCGCTATTAAATGTGAAAACCCAAAAATTTGCCGCTCTTTTTCTCCATGAAAAAATCGTGTTTGAAAAAAACTTTATGTGTTTCGCTTCTAGTATAAAATTAGGTGAGTAAAAGGGTGTTCCGTTATAAATGATCTCCCACCCTTAATTTGTATGCACCCTGTATATTTTAATTAGTGAAACTCAACATTTGTTGGATCAAATATTTATTTCTAAATTTTTTGAGAATAGTTTTTCAGTTTTTTTTTCTTTAGCTTTTTAGCCAGAAAATAAAATAAAATTAAAAGTGTCCATGGTGTCGTTTATACAAAAAAAAATAAGATAAGAAATAAGAATAAATTTAAAGTTGGTTTATCTTTTCTTTGTGTAAACCAATAATTCCGGAAGCAAGGTTCCACCTTTTCTCATCATTATCGCCTTAGGTTTTCCATCATCGTATACAATCCAGTTTGCGTTTCTTCTGACTATTGCAGTATTATAATGACCAGTTGAAGTTGATCGCCTAGTCATTGTAGTTAGTCCCTTATAATCAACAACTCCCAGAATCTGATAATAAAACCCCTGTTTTTGGACATCTGAACAGTCGTGGAATGAATTCGATGTCGACCCTCCGTTCTGTGTCAACTCCTATGATGTCGAGACGTCCTGAAGAAAAAATGATGGACATGTAGGGTGGGCAAATTTCGGTGATTTAATTGGGTTTATAGAAAACTAGCCGAGTTATCAAAAATTTTGGAGAACATTCTCAAGCTCTTTTTCCGAGAAAATAACAATGGCGGTAACAAATCACAGTTATCTTGATGCGTTTAGGAAATAAACGATATTTGAAAAAAAATCTGGTCATGTCGCCGAATTCTGAAAAGCTCTTTTTCGAAATTTTATTGTTTTTCGTTTTCTTGAATTATAAAGAAATAACAGGGTCTTTTAAAATCGGGGAGAATTGAGAATCGCCTTGTATTTCCTAAATGCATCAAGATAGCCTTGACTTGTTCACGTCGTTATTTTCTCGAAAAAAAAGCTTGAGAACGTGCTCCCAGATTTTTGATAATTAGCGAAACACATGATTTTTTTTTCAAACTTGATTTTTTGTAAAAAAAAAGCGGCAAATTTTTGGTTTTCACAACTTATTAGCGGCAAAAAAACGGCAAATTTCCATTCACTCAATTTTTCACTACCGACATTTTTAGTGATAATGTCTCGCTAACTTGACGTCAAGTTAGAGAAACAAATGATTTTTTTTTTCAAACTTGATATTTTATGGAAAAAAAAGAACCGGCAAATTTTTGGTTTTCACAACTTATTAGCGGCAAAAAAACGGCAAATTTTCACCTACCCAATTTTTTACTGCTGACATATTTAGTGATGTTGTCTCGCTATCTTGACGTCAAGTTAGCAAAACACGTAATTAAGAAAAAACCAAAAAAGCGGCAAATTTTTTAATTCCACATTTAATTAGCGGCAAAAAAGCGGCAAATTCTTCGCATAATGGAAAATCGTGTTACCGGTACCGGGATTCTAGACACAGCGTTCTGAAAATAGCATAAAAAATTGGGGATAAAAATTGCAAACTATTATAAACCTCTACAAATTCATAGCAGCAATAAATTTGCAAGCCGAAAACTTTCAGGGAGAAAAATAGGAAACTGTGAAGGGATCTTTAAAATAAAAGTATTCCTCTACAGAGTGAAAAGCTTTAGTCAAAAGTAATTTCCTTGGTAATTTCCTCACTTTTTTTTTTGAAGTACCCACTCTGCTTTATTATTCTCATGTTATGAGGTATGTGATTAATAGTATATTACATACTGAGGTGGAAAGTGTTTCATTACTGTCGAGAAATTTTAGTTAGACCGAGGCACAGCCGAGGTCTAACTAAAATCTCGAGACAGTAATGAAACTTTTCACCGAGGTATGTATACTATTTTATTTACAATCATTCGAATTTTGAAATTTTTATTTGAATTAAAACTAAAAAATACAATAATTGACAATTTCATTTACTTTCGGCCCACGGGTCGAAAGTTTACTTTCGACCCGTGGGCCGAAAGTAAAAGTCAAAAAATGCAATAGATTTTAAAAATTTCATTTACTTTTGGCCCACGGGTCGAAAGTAAACTTTCGACCCGTGGGCCGAAAGTAAAAGTCAAAAAAGTGACATTTTCGAATTTTTTAAAAGTCAGTAAAATCGACATTACATGTATGATTGTAAATAAACATTTTTTTACTGTTGTGGATAGATTTTTAAGTAAGTGAGAATGGGGGAATCGGAAGATCAATCACATGTGAACTTCTAGTATTGACTGAGGAGGAAGCATGAATATTAGAGGAATACCGACTTCTTCTGCATGAGACACACAAAACTAAAATTAAGATACAAGGCACGGGCAAAATACATCTGCTTAAATAAAGAATGGTCTGTTAGAGCTTCGTAGCTAAAAATGCATAACGACCTTATAGCACGCTTTTGGAGAACAAATATGTTGTTAAACAATGTTAATGAGCCTCAGAAGCAAATGCTATATCTAAGATTTGACTCAATTAAAGAAAAGTACACCATTATAATTTTCGAAATAATTTTTTTTGTCTTTTTCTCCTGAAAGATCAAGAGAAAATGTAAAATCGCCTTTATCATCGCACAAAATAGTGATGGTCTAAATTTGTGCTGAAAGTTTGTCTTTTTCTGCAATCTCATCACATTTTTTCCCTAGTGATTACCCCCTCGTTCAGAGTCAATACAGTTATTTTTATGAACAGGTATTAATTCCATCACTACTATTATTATTTTCTGTCACGACAGTATTAGGCAATTCAAACCACGTGACATTCAAGATGGCGTGGCGGCCACACATGGGCCAAAAAACACAAAAAATATCTAGTTTCTGTCCGAATTAATAGTTTAGGTATGGTATCTAGTCTACAAATATTTTATTAAATAATGAAAATCAAAGTTGTAAGCAAAACTGTATGCAAAATAATTTAAAATATGCATAAAAACATATTCAAAACAAGCTTGCTTGGCCGCCACGCCACATTGAATTTTCCTTTTTGACAGATGGATTGAATTGCCTAATTCATAGAAAAGGTCCACAAGCAGGAAATTCATGTAGAAGCCTTTGAGAACAAATAACCAAAAACAGCAAGGATTTTACAGGAATCAAAATCAAGACAATTTATTGTCAATTTAAGCAGCAGCTCTCCATCTAATTTGTTTTTATCATTTCTTATTTTCACATGCTGTTGTAAGATTGCCTAGCATTATTTGTCAGTGCTAACCTAACTACTGATAACAGTTTTTGAAAATATGAGACATTTTAGTCCCTCATATCAACTGCAATAATTAGTCACAAATCAAATATTTAATTTAAGTTACTTATACAAAATTACAAAGAAAAAGTGTGTCACCTACACAAAACAGTCCGCAATTTGAACAATGGAATTTGTACGATTTGAAGCTAATTAAACAATTACAGTTAACTAGTAATTTAAAAAACCCAAATAAATTCCCATTATATTGTTTATTACCTAAACGTAGAAAGTTTTTGTCGTTTCGATATCAGAGGACTGTCCTCTTTGTGTACCGATTTCAACGTAGCACTTTGAGATTCGACATCCATTTTCAAGGCGAAATCATCGAATAGTGTAATCACAAAAAAAAATCACATTTTTTATAACAATTAACTTTTATTTTGTTCGCATCACACAACGCAAAAGGGGATTTTTCATTTTTTCACACACCTAAATGAACTCATATGTTTTCTGTTGTTTATTTTAAAGTAGGTTTGGTTTTTGGTAGTTTGCAACATTGTATTGATTGTTTTGAATAAGGTTGGCAACGTTGCTGGCTATGTTGCCATATAATTCCACAAGTATTCAAAGTTGTGATTTGTGAATGGGATATAGAAGCAAATGTTACTTGTTTTATTTTGTTTCACCATTAATAAAATTTATTGATAAATATATAAGATAATATTGACACTGTGCTTATTTTCAATGAAGCCTTACATAAACTGTTTTTTCCCTAAAAGTACTTCAGTTCAAGATAACGCAAACTGATTTCCTAGTAAAAGTTGTACTGCAATTTTTTGTAGATTAGAAACAGAAAAATATGAATCAGCTGATAACAAATATTTGTCTAACAATAAACCAATCAAAATATGACTTCTGAAATTGATGGTTTAATCAGATGACACTTTAAAAATGTATTTTTAGAGGAAAGTACTGGGAAGAGATAGCGCCTAAGCCTGTTTTGGGTTTTTAATTAATTTAATCAGCACCCCACTTAATTCTTGTCTTGGTGAATACCTACATGATACTTAAAGCTGTAGATAAGATTTTGTTTATTAATTTTTACAATTTTATGATAACAATATAATAATATTAGCTTATGTACAGTTCATATATGACCCAAAAAATCTTGTTTTTTTTTTTCTACTATAAAGTAAGTTTTATTTGTATGGTCAATTTTAAAAACGTCTAAAACCTATTTATAACTATTTGAAAAATAATTTTAAATTTTAGTATTGAGAAAGGGCTTTAATCAGCTGGCACTGACTATTTTTGATGAAATACGTCCTGTATTGTGCTAGAACAGAGAGTGCATTATGATTCATTATTATTGAAGGCTCAATTCCAACGTTTTCTGACCTTGACCTCTACAACATAGTTTTATTCCACCCTTTCAAAGCTCCCCATACAAATAATACAAAAAACAAATTGAAAAATCGCACGCCTTGAAAGTGTAAAAAACAAAATCGATAAATCATTTGAATCGAAAGTTCTTACCTGCAGAGAACGCTACCCAAACTCCTTCTCCTCACAGGATTCCTGTTGTTTTTCGCAGAATGCACGTCCATTTCATAATAGCTATTTCCATGACTGGGATGGCCCAGAAGAAAATCGGTTTCTTCCTCTACATCGAAATCTTGTAGAGGATATTCCATTCCAGACCCATAATAAATAAAAACTAAACTCTCGACATTTTATTTCACTTTAATGAATGAGATGTTGCTTTACCAATTTTAATAAATATAATGCGTAGAAAAATCACTATGGGCCAAATAACCATGGGCTTTTAGCGTTTCACTTTCACTGTTTTGGTCTTTGGAATTATTTCTCCGCAAAATCGCAAAAATGAATAAACAAGACAGGAAAAGAGAAACAGTTGTTCTCTGTCTCTGACCTTGAATTATTGTCGGAGTACTCCAGAGTTCTGCTCTAGAGTCAGTTGTAGTTCCGTTTGATAACTTTTTTTGTGTTGGCAACACTACAAAAATCTTGAAACACTTGAGCTACTCGCTCCGGTGTTTGGTCGCCCCCGATTTGCGGGGAACAAATGCGTGGTGCAACAAACACTTTTCAAAAGGGATAAGCGCGTGAAGCCCCGGAGCTGTTCCGGAGTTTATCCCACGTGTGAAAGGAGTTGGAATTAAATGAAACGAGAGGAGCTTTTAGTCACGTAGGCTCAGAGCAAGAGCAGAACGAACCGAACAGCCTCCGAACATAATTTTTCCGAACAAAGCTCATCAAACATTATCGGTTATAAACACACAGGATTGCTGATTCAGTGATCCACTTCGTTTTTGGTAATCGCAGTCATATGGTGTAGCACCATTGTCGACGTCATTAACTAAGTCGTCAGCTGTTTGCGCCAGGGTAGCTGCCCCCGGATCACGAACCCACAATTCGATAGTATCGTCCATGTAATTTATATGGACGATACGATCGAATCGTGTGTTCGTGATCCGGGTCCTGGTGTCTCAATAGCAAGTCATCCCCGGTTTAAGTATAACTCCAGGGTAAACATAATGGCGACCGTTTGCGAAACATGTTTAGTCATACTCATAATACAAATCCAACGTAGCGTTCAGCAGAACAATCGCAACGCCTTTATCAACGTTTCTATCTCCTGAACGCGGCCAAAGGCTTGTGTTGCCAACATGCTGAGTTTGGCATAAACTCGGTAAACTCCGAGCGCGCTCGATACGATATGATCTTGTTCGTTTCAGCTCTCAGATTGTTCTCTTATGCGTTCAAATTTCAGGCAACAATCTAGCACGAACCCTTAGTTCGCTTTATTTTTCGTGATGGATGGATACAGAACCCGTGATGACGTAAGTAGCGTGTCGTTTCTCACCTTAACGTAGTGTCTTTGCTAGTTTATGATTCCGCGGGCTTTTGCTTTATGCATACTTGGCTTAAGTACATTAATTACTATTCTAGAACAACACTTCTTTAATCAACTAGACCAGTCAGATACGTCTCTATAACTTTTGACCGGAATATTTTCAAGTACAAGATGGCTTATTAGGTTAGCGCACTTGACTTTATCGCACAGCGGTACCAGGTTTGATTCCCAGAAACAGCAGATAATGATGCCTCCGCTCAATATATGGCGTTGAGTATGACACGTAACGACAACAGTGCAGTTGGTGTAATTCGGATAGATTGGAGAAGTTCGAGTTGGTTGGATTAGTTCGAGTTAGTTGGAGTAGGCTGGGTTAGTTCAGAGTAGATTAGGGTAGCTATTAGTTGTATTCCTTTCACACCTAGGAGGAGCTCCGGGGCTTCTCGCGCTTATTGCTTTCGAAAAGTGTTTGTTGCACCACGCATCTGTTCCCCCCAAATCGGGGGCGACTAAACACCGGAGCGAGTAGCTCAAGTAAATACAACTTATGTTAGTTCGCAGTAGATTAGAGTAGTTCGAGCTGGTTGGAGTAGATTAGAGTAGGTCGAGTTGGTTGGAGTAGATGACAGATTATTGATAGATGATTGATAGGTGACTTTGACAAATAATTGACAGATGAGTGACATTTGACTAGCAGGTGACTGACAGATGATTTTGACAGATGACGTCATCTCCTCCGGAAGACAGAGGATGGTGACGATGATTCTCTCGTTTGCATCCTCCACTTCGCCTATTAATTTTATCTTAATCAAAATTAAATAATATATTTCATCAGATGTATATACGACCGCTGGCGCAAGCAGCTGCCGACGTAAATGATGACGTTGTCAATGGTGCTATACAACATACATACTATACCCGCGATTCTCGAAAACGAGGCCGATAAGCAATCCTGTGTAATAGTGTGTATTAGCCTTGGCGAAAAACGACTTGCTGTCACGTCATCACTGGTGCTATGGCATGGAGGGGGCTTGAGATTTGATTTACACAGGCCTTATGAGGATAGACTATTATGTAGTAGTAGTTTGTAAAGTCTGTTTTTTTTTTAAAGATAATTCCCCAAGTCAAAAATTTAGTAACTATGTTGGCAACACAAGCCTTTTCTACATAAAAAATTTGAAAGCTTTGACAATTTTACATTGCATTGCCAACACAATGTCATTTTGACTTTTATCTTTAAAAAAAAAACACATTTTATTATTCTTGACTCATACCTTGGTCACGTGTTCGACTTGAGCAATAGAACGCTCTCAATCTGAAATTTTACACGGAGCGCTCTTTCTTGCTTCGTCAAATTGGATGGATCAAAGAGTTTGATGAGAAAATGTTACGTTCAACCGTTCAACTATTTATTTTAATTGGAATGCCTTCTTTTGGATTATAATCGCTCTCGGAGGCAGGAGCACTCCCGCAGAGATCTGTGACGTCACCGCCAGACGGGAAGCGCTCTGGGAGCAGTAAAGCCGAATATGATATTTAATTCGACTTGGTTTTCCGGTTTTTTTCCCCAGATTTCTTTTCTATTTTTATTTCAGGTCCATTACTAATTTTACTAGTAAAATAAAATTAAAATCAAAACAATTTTTTTTTTTTTGAGATTAGTGACAACTGTGGGCTGTGGCAAGGGTTTTAGAATTTTTTTTTTTCATCTGCGTTCGGCTTATGACTTTGTTCACGGCGCACTCTGCGTATGACGTCACGATATCCATGCTCATACCGTTTCGCTCCGTGGAGTACAAAGCCGAACTGAACTCAGCCTTTGTTGCACCTGAAGTGCTCAAGCCCGAACTAAACCGTTTAATGCACGAAAACCAGCAAATCTGTTCGTTTCAAATCGGGGTCGATTAGCACATGAGCGAGTACCAATCCAATTCGGAATGGTCTCTAGAACTATTTTTTTTTTACAATTATGACCCAAATTTCCAAAAATAGTAGTTTTTCCACCAACAACCAGAGGCGTTTTCTCGGGTCTCAAATGTTTCAAAACATTTTTCAAAACTGGTTCACTATGACGACATAATTCCTAGGCGCGAGAAAATGGTTTGAAAATGTGGATTGGATTGTATTTCGAAACGGTTTGAACAAATTTTGACGTGACGTGATGAGTTTTAGCTCCGGAACAGCTCCGGGGCTTCACGCACTTATTCCTTTCGAAAAGTGTTAGTTGCATCACGCATCTGTTCCCTGCAAATCGGGGGGCGACTAACCACCAGAGCCGCTTTCCAGTATGCACATTGGCGCGCTCTAGAGCACCTCAGGGGCGCCACGCACTAGATTTGTACCGTTCCAGTATCATGGCGTGAGACGCCTGTCTTTGTCAAATTTTAAAAATAATTATCTGTTTGTGCAAGTTTGTTTTTTTATTTATCAAAAATGAAAGCGAATCAAAACTATATTTTTTAAAATGTTAAATCTTGAGATATAACAAGAAATAAATAAATAAATAGCCACCCACGGATGTGACAGCTGACAGGTTGACGCATACGTACAGCTCGCGAGCTCAACGCCCCGAGTAGCTTCGGGCGTCACACTCCCATACTGGAAAGCGGCTCAGAGCGAGTAGCTCGAGTGTTTCAAACTCTTGTAAGAGCCGGATTCTTTCGCAAAATATTTGAATCATGATTCCGAGATCCTGATCCGTTCGTTCAGATGGAACATGGGGCGGATTACGAACTCTCGATTCGAACCGAAACCGCCATGGATTTCGAACGCATTCTCATGCATTCGCATTGAGTGCGTTCGAAATCCATGGCGGTTTCGGTTCGAATCGAGAGTTCGTAATCCGCCCCCATGTTTCATTTATTAGTCCGAAAAAACGCTGTCACTGATGTCTCACTGCCAGCTGGTGCTTTTCCTCTATTCTCTATTTTTTTAGTTGGTTATTATTATATTTTGCAGTTTTTTGATTTGCTACGTTTGTTTTTCTGTGCTTATAATAATGGACGAGCTTACAAAATTTATATTATATATTATTGCAGAAAGCGCAAAAAGTAAACAAGAAATAATTTGAAAGTTGAGGTTAGATTTTCGCGATCGGAACAAACTAATCACAAACAAAAAATGTTCAATATGTTCAGACTTTCTCGGATCATGATTCGTTAACTGTCATTTGCCAAAATGCGAAAGAACGTGATCACTGGAACATAACGCGTTTTGATCAACTGGGCGCGATTTTCGAAACCACTCGAGTACATTTCGTACACGAAATTTGACTGACAGCAATGTAAATTAAATGGGGAGCAGTCAAATTTCGTGTACGAAATGTACTCGAATGGTTTCGAAAATCGCACCCCTGATCCGGTCCGAAAGAATGCGGCTAAAGCCTAGTCTCCATGGACGCGAAATCGCAAATTTTTTTTTGCGGATATTTTCCGATTGGTTGGAATTTGACATTTAACATTTGATTTTTTTATGGCGGGAAAAATTCGCGAATTTTTTAACTTCTTGCGGCGTCGCAAAAAAGTTAACTATTTTTTAACTTTCCGCGAAATTTCGCCAAAAAAAAATGAGGTTATGTGAGGCGATTTTCAGCCTGAAATGATTATTATTTGGTTATAACCCAAGAATCGTAAACTCTACAGGATTGCTCAATCCCATAAGACAAACGTTCATAAAAACATCGAAGATGGCGGTATGCGAATGACGTCACGCAGTCCTTGATCGGTTTGTGTTTTTTATGACAGTGCACTATCCTTGCATTTTCAAACGTGAAAAATTGTTATTTTGAGGTTATTTCCTTTGAAAACTGTATTTTGTAATTAATTTATTGATTTTAAAATTAGCAGACTTCAAAAGCTTGTGTTGATCCTTGAGGCTTGAGTGGTTGGCTAATTAGAAAGACGAGTTTGTTCGCTTTTGTTTATCAATTAGCCAAACATATTGCCAAAAAGTCAAAAAAACGGAGGGCTGGAGTCAAGCTGGCCCCCGGATTCGTTTCAATGTTTTTTTTGTGTATGAAAATGAGCACAATTCGCATAAATACTGGCACAATTGACTACAGAGTTGAGAAACAGTAGAATACCAAATGTGGGGTGCCGAGCCGGTTTAATTTTTGCATTTCAATATCAAAATATAAGCGAAACGGGGTTGCAATAGTGTGCTTATTTTTTACTGACCCTACCTAGGTACTTCTCAATTATTATTCATTAATTTAATAGGTACTAGAACGATTTAATATGGACATTCAAAGTGAGCTTATTTCACAAGGCCAAATAGTGATACCTAATTTAGATTCTCATAATCATATTCCAGAAAAACATTGCAAGTTTCCCATATTTTCCATGCGTTTTCATAGTAAACGCGCCAGTAAAGGAATTTATTTACATATTTATTTATTCACTCTTCACAAACCCTAATTTTTATTAGTAATTACATGCAAAGGAAACTTACAACTAAGTAGATATTTGATTTATAAAAAAAAGCAAAACAAATGCTTGACTAGGAAATACTAACTAGCAATACACACAAATAAAAGAGCGATGTCCTGATACAACAAATCCAGTATTATAAAACCAGAAAATGCTTGGGGTTTTCGCGAGTATTTTCAGCCACGAGTCTTTTATGCTTACACACATTAAATGAAACTTTAAATTTACACTTATAACACTAGATAAATCCGAATTTACGATAAAATACTTGTCAGCACAAACTAAACATCATTCGTATCAGCGGCCATCTTGAAAATCCGGCATGCGCGTAACGTCACAGCAATTGTGAACAAATTTAGCCGATTGAGCAATCCTGTAGAGTTTACGATTCTTGGTTATAACCAATGCATTTCCGCCGTCGCGGTTTTAACCAAAGTAGGGGAAGTTGTGATGTCACATATCAGCTGATTTGCTTTTGGTATTTACCACTTATAACCGATTATAACCCAGCTTTGGACTTGGGTTAATCATTTGGTTACAGCTTTTTGATGTTATTGTTATTATTTTGGGAATTGGTATTGGTGTTTTGTGATTTTGCAGTTGTGTTGTGGCCTGTTACAATGGAAGAAGTATACACTCACTCACTCACTGCAACTCATCATGTTTAGATCGAGGTTTAGATCATCCCCAAAGAAAATCTGTTCGATAAACGAGACTAACGAGAGATTCCGCTCTAATTTCTGTACCTAAACAACAAACCATTGTTGAAACGAAAAAACAAATAGGAATAATAAACATAATCCTATACTGCTATAACCAAATCATTTCAGCGGTCAGTTCCTTGGGTTATGATTCTTGAGTGGTGGGGGGCTATGACTGTCAAAGTTGTCAACCAAAAGAATAACCACGGTATTTACCGATAAATAATCATTCCAGGCTGAAAATCGCCTCTAGTTTTGTTTATGTTTTTGTCGGTATGTGCTCTGTCCTCTGTGAGTCGTTGATGTGTTTTGTACTTGTAGATACCTAATAAAGAATGGATACTGCCAAAGAATTAAATATTGTAGACCCGAAAACAGACATAAATTACAGTTTGCTGGTTGATGAGGAAAATTATAATAGGGCCTTAAATGTAATTAAGACAACACCAAGACACATATCTTTTTTTGTTTTTTAGTAATCACTTTCATGGTTTTCAAAGATTAGTGTTTGAAATTCAAAGCATTTAAATCAAATTCAAATTGATTACAAACAACAACACATAACCTTAACCTGTTAAATAAAACGCGAATTTCGCGTTTATGGAGACATGGGAATAATTTGCTCGGAAATAGCCACCAAAAAATGACACTTAAAAAATTCGCTTTCCGCGATTTCGCGTCTATGGAGACTAGGCTTAAGGAATACAACTAATGTCAGTCAGAAGTCAAATGACCCAGCTGATTTTTGACAAATGACAGCAAAATCCGCAAACATGCAAATTTTATTATTTAATAAGTAGAACCTAAAAATACTAGAAATAGTAGAATTTAAATTTGTTGCTTCCGAGTCCTTCTCAGAATAGAACTAACGAAAATGTCTCCGGAAATCCCAACGGTCTATTTGATGTTCGATACTACCGATCCTCCACAAAGGTCTGAAGCTCAAAATTCGGCAAATATTTTCCAGCAAGAATCTGATGAAACTACTGAGGATGAAACCTCAGAAGACGAGGAACCAGAAGTTAAGGACTCCGAAGCATCCACAGATGAGGACGAAGCACCACCAGCGAAAAAGAAAGCAAAGTTAGTAAAATGGTGCAAGAAGCAATCCAAACCGCAACAATATTTGGTCAAGAAGCGAGGGATGATGCCCCCATTATATCCAAGAATTCACAGTACATTTTTGGTTTACAAAGTATATTGATTAAATTAACGATACAAATATTGACAACATTGTTTTCAGGGTACTTTATATCGAGTTGGAGATGTAGTCGCCCTAATGGATATCATTAGTGAAGACATTTACTATGCCCAAATCACCAACCTACTCATTGACGAGTACCAAGAGCGATTAGCGATAATTCAGTGGCTGTTCCCAACCACTGCAAGCCCAAATCCAAATGAAGGATTTGATGCCTCAACTTATTACTTAGGTAAATTCTGTTTTATCAATTAAATACAGTTTATTCGAGAATATTTTCTTTTAGGCCCAAGAGAAAGCACCCCAAGGAGCGTTTCACAGATGCAATTTGTTATGCACAAGCCCATTGGTTATTTTAAAGCCAATTTAGCCTTGATTTCAGATCCTCTACCTCGTAAAAGGTCTTCACACTCTAGAAGGGGCTAGTTTTTCTGTTTGCTTCTTCTAGGACGCTGTTCTAAAACATTTGTAATTTTTCTATTTTTGTATGTAGGTAGTTATTTAGTTTAGAAATACAAACCATCCATTTCCAAAATTGTTTTTCTTTTTTTGTCCACTCTAGGTAAATGTTTAAAATTTTTACTTGAGGCTCAGTATCTTGAATAAATTGTTCTCCAATTTCTTTATTTTTTAAAGCCAAAATTTCATAAGTTGTTAAGCCGATGTTGCGCGCCTTTATGTCCAATTTTTCATTAAACTAAAAAAATAAATACATTAGTATATAATGAATAAGTATTGTCAAAGAGAATTTTTACTTTTGCTTGTATTTTTACTATTTGTTCTTCATATTCAACTAACATATTTTCATCTGACAAAATTTTGCCCTCAAGCCACATCACATAGTTTTTCAAATCATGTTCATCCAGTCTTTCCAAATCAAATTTCTCATGAGCTCTCACTTTGGTTGCCGTACTGGAATGCCTAATTTCGAGACCCTGGTCTAATAATTTTTTTAAATCCCATTCTATTGTATGAGATACAAGAAAAATGAGCCCTAGCAGTAGTTCTCTGCTGCCCGGATTCTCATTAAAAAATTGTTTTCTTGTATAGTTGAGATCAATGAAATTTATTTGAATGTTGCTTTCTTTTGAAATCTTATCTAAAGTATTTTGTAATATTGAGACCTAAGATAAAAGAATTTAAAGTAGTTGATGATAAATTTTAAATTAAATTTACTCACAACATTCTCATCGGTTTTGTTAAATTTGGAAAGCCGAAAGTGTTCAGGTTTTATGTTTGTGTCGTAAATTAGATTTAGAAGCTTACAGAGGAGCCCTATTGTGTTTTTAATTTCTTTTGTTGTTGTTAAACTCATTTTTTTAATAAACTAAAAGAAAGGTTATGGATGAGAACCATGTCATTGATGAGAAATGTCAAATATCAGCATCAGCTGATTGACTGAAACTTAAGGCCCTCACACACAGTTTTGCATAGCTTGTGTGTGTGTGTGACAGCCTTTATTTTTAACTTCAACAGTCATAGTGGTGTTGTTTTTTCTTCAGTTCAGTAAGAAAAATAAACTATAACTACTAAAAGATAAATAATAGTCAATATAATTTCCAGGAATTCTTAGACTCCTTTCTATAATCATTAACATCTCAATTATTTACAATTTAAAAAAATTCCAATAAAATCACTTGGTAGACACTCTGGTACGCTTATTCCAAGCAAAGTTGACACCATAAGATTTTGGCTTGAACGGTTTATCCAGTTTGCTCTCTTGAATGTACCAATCCCAACCATTTTTCTCACAATATTCGACTGCTTCTTCCTTGTTGGCAAATTGAACTTTCATGTTGGACAATGGATCGCCTCTAAAAAAAGTTAACTTTTAAACTTATTTTGAAAAATTATATTGTTCTTACGTTGAACACCAGCCCATTAAAGGATTCTCCCAACGTTCTTTGGTATCAAAATCCATCTCCCAATGGCCAATGTTATTAGTACCACTTTGCATGCAATTTTTAGCTGGCTCGTAGATCCTCACTTTACGGGTTTTGACTTGATCTTCGGGCACTCCACTGATTAGAGCCAATTCAGTTTGCTTCAACACAACATTGTCTCAATCTCAAAATCATATTTACTATGAAAATAATACTTACAGGTCCCTCAACGGTTATGTAACCTTGCAACTTTTTTCGCTGCTCGATTTCTTCGGGCTTCAGCAGCGTCAAGTCGCTGCTTTTCAGCGGGGCATCACCATGCAATATTGCTGACGTCGAAAGACCCGGGGCGCATCTAAAATTTAATGGGGCACTTGTACGAAACTGAAAATATGAGTCAGGTTGAGGTACATACTTGAGATTTGAACAGCACTGTCGCAGATATCTAGTTTTGACTAGAAGCGATGCCATCGTTTAATTTTTGACTAATTTCTGATAGTTTTTAATTAAATAAATAAGAACGAATCAGTACTTTTATTTATTATTTTTTTGATTAGGAAGGAAGAAAATGTCAAAGTCAAAACAGTCAGACATAAATTAGTTATGGGCGCTTTCTTTAAGGCGGTTACACACCGACGTGAATGTCTGAAAACATGTACGCACATACATGAACGAGCATACAAAAACATCAAGGTGTATGCAAAATATCGTCGCGTTTTTGAATGCGGAATCGCTAGAAATTTTGTATTCACACTCCGATTACTATAGCAAGAATAGCAAGACTGCAGTTTTGTGCGAGCTTCTGTACAAACGCGACATGCACGTTGTTGTTTGCACGTTGATGTATGCACGTATGTGTATCAAGACATTCACGTCCGTGTGTAACCGCCTTTAGCCGCTTTCCAGCTGACGCTTTTGAGCACGCAATCGAGCTTTTGCGCGCGCAAATGCTCCAAGCGCGTGTTCGTGTTCCCGGGGTGCGTTCAAGGACGGCAAAGCTAATGCCAAAACCTACTTTTCCCCCTCCGCCGGTAATGCTGAACCACGTAGTTTGGAGCCGAACTCGAACGCAAAATGCCAATTTTAGCTTGGCTGTAGCCAATCCCGAACGCAGCCCAGCCGTTCTGCGCTTCGAGAGCTTGCTAACTTTTGCGTTTCAAACACAGAACACTGTGCTGCACCGAGCTTGAAGCACACAGCTGGAAAGCGGCTTTTTATTCACGGTTGCGTTTAGAAATAGCACTCTGGGTGTGAGAGTGACCCTAGAGTAACTCTAAACCGTTCATAAATTAACAGGTGCTTACTCGAGGCGTTACGCTGTAATCGTTCAGAAATCGAAAGTTGACGTGCCCAGAGTGCGCCCAAATTACCCCACTAGGTGGAAAAACGCCCCGCGTTTTTTAACTGGTTTGACGTGATTCATGACATTAGGTCTGTTCCCACAGGAGTTTCTGATAGTTTGCAAACTGTCAGAAACAATCGCTCAGCTGAGTTACAGATTTATCTTGTAACGACAGCATTGAAAACATGCATGGGCGATGCTTACCGACAGTTTGCAAACTGTCAGAAACTCCTGTGGGAACAGACCTATTGACACTTACCGCAAAGCTCCAATACGTTCAAAATTAGCCCACCCACAGTGCACCCCAAGTGATGACGTCAGAACACACTGACAAACAACTACTCTACCTTCACACTCCATTTCTAAACGCACTCCAGCGGTGGATCCATCAGTAATCTGCCTATCTTTGTCTAGCTCATAGAAAATAGGAATATCTGTCTCATAATGCTGGCAGCAGATGGATCCATTGCTGAATAAAAGAAAGCGCCCTATGTTTACTATCCTTGCGTTAGGTATTTTGCTCAGGGTCGGTTTCTCAAACGAGTCACCCCCGGGTTGAGTATAACTCCAGGGTAAACATAGCAACTGGACACGCTTACCCTGGAGTTGAAACTAGCCCGGAGGTAACTCGCTATTGAGAAACCGGCCTTCAAAGAGCAGAGCGTGCTGAGCGGAGCCGTAATCACGTGACCACCGAGCGAACAGAGCAGTTGAACGCTGTATCAGAGTACCCGAAATTTTAATAAACGATCGCGAATGAGCCTGCACCAAGTACACTTTTTAAATAAACGAACGTTTAATTGAAGCTCGGAGAACTCAGATCAAAATATTGAACGCACGGTTTGCTCAAAGAGTACGTGCTGAAATGGAGCCATGATCACGTGACCAGCGAGTGCACAAAGAAGTTAAAACACTGTATCAGAGCACTAGAAATTTCCATTATCGAACGCGAATGAGCGTGCATCGAGGACATTTTTTAATTAGATGAACGGTAGTCTCAAGCTCGGAGAACTCAGATCAAAATACCAAACGCACAATGGGCTCTTTCACTAAAATTTAAATACGTAATTTAGGTATAAAATCCCAAAGGAGGGACTATTTTAGGCACATATACCAAAAAAAAATGTTCTACAAGGTTAAATAAGTTTTTTACAGGCATTTTAAACTACCAAAATTTGAATTATTTAAAAACGCGCCGATTTGCTGACGTCGCATAAATATTTTTCATTTCGCTTGTTGTTGGAAAGAGCTGTCCGCCTCTGCTGTATTTATCCTGTAGTAAATGCAGGTAAAGGTTCGAATGCGCTGTTGTCGGTGGTGACTAAATGTAGTGCAACGTAAAATAAATAAATAAAACTAAACATAGAAAATTATATTAAATTGTGTTTAAGCATAATTTCAATAAAAATGTTATAAAATCTTAAATCCATAACTAATTAATTTAACTACTTTTCATGATATTTTGGGAACCTTTCAGAATTAAATCTATTACAAATTTTCAATGTTGACAATTAGTGGCAACACGGTCAAATAGCGAGCTGCGACGTCATAGAAATAAATTCTGGGTTTTTATTTGGAGGTATTTCTTTTTTTTCTGTTTTCTCAAGAAGGACTATGAATTTTTCAAAAGTAAAAATACAGAAAATTCTGTTTTTAGTTGCTTTATCCAAATATGCCAATTTCAAAAATTAGTGAAAGAGCCCATAGGTGGGTTCGGCTTGCTCACTCCGTGCACTCCGAGTGACTCCATTCGCACTCCAGCCGTTCGGGTATTGCTTTTTACCGTATTAGGGGTGGACTCCATTAGCTCTGTTCACTCCACTCCAACTCCGCGCTGAATTGCCGAACCCAGCTAAAATAGAGCCGCTTTCCAGCTGACCATTTTGAGCACGCAATCGAGCTTTTGCGCACGCCAATGCTTCAAGCGCGTGTTCGTGTTCCAGCCGTACTGCGATTCGAGAGATGCTAACTTTTGCGTTTCAAACACAGAACACTGTGCTGCACCGTGCTTGAAGCACAAACACAATAGCCGCTTTCCAGCTGTGTGCTTCAAGCACGGTGCAGCACAGTGTTCTGTGTTTGAAACGCAAAAGTTAGCAGTTCTCGAAGCGCAGTACGGTTAGAATACGGACACGCGCTTGAAGCATTTGCGCGCGCAAAAGCACGATTACGTGCTCGAAATGGTCAGCTGGAAAGCGGCAGACAACTAATTCATCTGTCAGACACAAAATTCAATATGGCGTGGCGGCTAAGCAAATTTATATTGAATATGTGTTTTCGGTGCGTATTTATATGAGCGTAAGTTGAAATTTCTTGCGTAATCACGTGATGAAATGGTTAGATTTTCTTGGTGAAATATTCGCCATGCTAGAGATTTTACCAATTAAATTACACCATGTTATCACGTGATTACGCCAGAAATGTCAACTTACGCTCATGAGATGAGATCTCACCCATTGATGTGAAGATATCAATTCCTTTGGAGTAAAATCAGTGCGAAAAATCGCTTTTTCCTATGAGCGCGGAAGAAAATTTCCACATGTTAACGAGTCTGGAAAAAGAGTTTGCGGAAAAGCGTTCGCCAATTCTCGAATCGGCAGCTGGTCTGCGGGTGACGTCATTATTACCAGCAGCTTATATAGGTGACGTCACCAGCAGGCCTTGATAGATTGCTTGCGAAAAAGGCTGTGCTTGTGAGTTAATTTTTTGTTCAATTATTTTAAATTTAGAAAAAGTAATTCAAACATTTGAAAATTCGTTTTTTTGACCTAGGGCCGGGCTCTCAATAAAGTCACGTCCGGGTTAAGCATAACTCTTGGGTAAACATTGCAACTCGATACATTAACCCTGAAGGTAGATAATGTATTTTACGTCAAGAGTTGAGGTCTGCGGCTGACGTCATAAATAGTGGAGAGTTGTCGCGTGGACTTGGCAGACCTAAAGCTTCCTTCTCATGCGTTCGTCATCCGACGACGACGTTACGATGATACGAAATTATTTGTATTGGTTGAATTTACGGTTTCATATTGGTCAGAAACCTCAGAAAATATGTGATTATTTATTATTTCTCTCATTCACATGCATCCGTCATCCGATGATACGAATCGTTTCTGATTGGTCATAATCTTAGACGTCATAATCATCAATTGACGGACGAAAATTGGCGGGAAAATATTTTGGCCAATCAGAGCGCTGTCTGTTTTATCAGAAACTGAAACCAGTGGCGTACCCAGAAAAAAGTGTTGGGGGGACATGCCATGACCGTCTAGTAAAGTCCGACGAAGCCGGAAATTTTTTGGGCTGCCACGCCCAACGCCAACTTTTACCAACAAATCGTTAAAAGAACAAGGATTCGGTGGCCTTCGCTTAAATGACTAATGCGATGTTATTAATTAAGAATTAATTTTTGTTTCCAAAATTTTGTTTTTGCGTTCTTTCTCAAGTCTTTGAGGGGGGGCGAACGCCCTTTTGTTTCCCTCCCTGGGTACGCCTCTGACTATAACTCCAAATTAGTTAAAATTTTCAGGGATTATCCTCTGTTAGGATAGGAATCGCTGAAAATTTCAGCTTTTTATCTAAGATAGAAAAAAAGTTATGATTATTCAAAGTCTTCAAAGGGATCTTCTTTCCAAACTGGTCAAATTAGAAAAATTTTATGGAGATTTCTATTCTAGAGATGATTATCTGGAACCCCAGAAACTCCATACAGTGATTTATTGTAGGATTTGAAACTGAAAACTTAGAAAAAACCTCAGAATGATTGAAAAATCCGAAATTTCACCTCAAATTCCTTAACGTGATATTTTTCTCAGAAACTATAAGCCCAAATGAGTTGAAATTTTGCAGTGCTTGTAGTCCTCTACCCGAATAAGAATCGCTGAAAATTTCAGCTTTCTATCTATCTATGCATTAAAATGTTTACATCCAAATCTTCGAATGCACAAACAATTAGGTAAAGTCTGTTTTTTTTTTAAAGATAATTCCCCAAGTCAAAAATATAGTAACTATAGCCGCTTTCCAGCTGTGTGCTTCAAGCACGGTGCAGCACAGTGTTCTGTGTTTGAAACGCAAAAGTTATCAGCTCTCGAAGCGCAGTAAGGCTGGAACACGACTTCGCGCTTGAATCATTTGTGCGCGCAAAAGCGCGATTGCGTGCTCAAAAGCGTCAGCTGGAAAGCGGCTAAAGCCTTGTACTCATAACTGCGAAATTCGCACTTCTTTGACATTGTTTCGACAATTTGACGTTAAATGCGTGAATCAAACGTCAAATTGTCGAAGCAGTGTCAAAAAAGTGCGAATTTCGCAGTTATGAGTACTAAGCTTTATGTTGGCAACACCAGCCTTTTCTACATAAAAAATTTGAAAGCATTGACAATTTTACATTGTATTGCCAACATAATGTCATTTTGACTTTTATCTTTAAAAAAAAAACAGACTTTACATCTGCAATAATTTTAGGCAATAACCTTCTGAAAAGTTATCAGGTGATGTAATCTGAAGGATAAGAGAGCAATCTATGACCTATAAAGTCTGTTTTTTTTTAAAGATAAAAGTCAAAATGACATTATGTTGGCAATACAATGTAAAATTGTCTATGCTTTAAATTTTTTTTGTCTAGAAAAGGCTTATGTTGCCAACATAGTTACTAAATTTTTGACTTGGGGAATTATCTTTAAAAAAAAAACAGACTTTAGGATATTGGTCGAATATTGTCATTTGTCTTGTAGATAATTGCCAGCAAGTTTTTGGGAACATTAAAAAACCTTTCCTAAGTCAAATAAAACCCCGTTGGAATTTAGATAGAAGTTTTTTCTATTTAAGTTTTATCTGAAGAGAGATGCACATTACTTTCTTCATTTTAGATTCCGTTTAACAAATTGATTGGTAATTTTTAAGCAATTGTTGGATTACTTATTATCTATATATATAAAAATCAATGCCACTTTTCGTTGTAATTTTATAACTCAAGAACGGGCTCACCTAGCCAAACCTAATGTTTAGGCTTTGTTCGGACTATTTATTAGATGGTTTATGTGAAGTTTGCACAAAATCGGTCGAGCGGTTCTTCATTTATCACATTTTTTGTAATAAATGAATTATTCAATAAATGGAGGATCATTTTGTTATCATTATTATCTATATATATAAAACACAGTTGTGCTGATTCTAGCACTTATAACTCGAGAACAGCTGGACTGATTTTTATGATTTTTGCTTTATTGGATTTGTCTTTGTCCATACTAACATAATAAATCGAAAAAATCCAAAAAAAAAGACAAAAAACAAAATTACCTATTTTACTTATTTATGAAAAAAATTCACTAAGCCCGCATACGGCGCCATCTCTTATAACCGATACCAAGTTTACCGCCACATTTTCATTGCAAACCATTTTGTATACGGCGCTATCTCTGATACCTAGAACGAAGCTCGCCGTTGCGCGGTAATTTCATTGCAGATACAGTAGAACAATGCTACTCAGGAACTGAAGCTATTCCGAACAGAACTATTCCACTATTCCGATCAGATAGAGTGGTGCAGTAAGAGTAGTGCAGATAGAGTAGAACAGATGGAGTAGTGCAGTGCAGATAGAGTGAAACAGGACTGCGCTAGAGATTTTTTTTGTTTTCTTTACATTCTTTGAACATTCCTGTGCCTGACTTTATTTATTTGGTGGTACACTTTACAAGAATAATGCCCACAAGCTGCCTAAAAAAGGATGATGTAAAATTTTAATTTTAGGTGACTTCTGATCCAGAGAGTAAACATTAATTTTTTTCAACCAAAGCCAAATTCACCATCGAAAAAAACTGAATTTGATTCAGCTAATAGATACGTTCACACAACATTTAATAGGTATTTAATAATTCAGAGGCGGTACGAAGTTCGCCGGGTCAGCTAGTTAATTATATTTTTTTGAACAAGCTAGAATGTTAATATCTCAAATGCCTGTAATTTGCATAGAAATTCTCTTCCAAAACAATGTCCTAAATTTCAATTTAGTTGAGTAACAAAAACAATCGATGATGCACATTTTATCGACAATTATCCTGATTGCCAAACCTACTTTATTATATTAAAATAATGTAAAATACAAACATTTCAGTATTAAAACATCCCAGTTAAAATGAAGTTTACCAAATTTCTCCTATACGAATTTTCTTATAAGGTTTTCATCAAAACTACAAATTTATTATTAATTGCGCCAAAAATTGAAGGAAAAATTGGATGTTTACAATATTTTAAAGTTTATTTTAGTGCATTAGTTTTACTTCTTTATCACTACTGGAGATTCGATGCAGTGTGTGATTTGAAAGAAAAGAGTACTAGTGGACTCGAATGTATGGGACTTATAATTACAGGAACGCTCTTTGACTTTTTTATCATATTTGTTTTAACTGCTTATTTGAAAAAAAACTTCTGGCATAATTTATACAGAAGCCTAGATTTGAAAATATTTAAAAATGAAGCTATTAAATATAATGGAAACATTGCAAGAATACTTCTAGTTTTTATATTATTAATATTTTCAACTTTATACAATTTGTTTTCTGATCTTTATGCATCGTCTCAAAGTTATGTAGTAACTCTTTCAAAAATCATAGATTATTTATTATTCTATTATTATTCATTTGTATTATTTTTCCTGATTATATTATTATTGGAGGTTCAAGCCCAGTTAAAAAAAACAAGAGCTTGTTTAACTAACAAGATTTGTATTATTAAAATAAGAACCGCTAAATGTTCATTTCACAGAATAAGGGAAGCGAATGATCTTATTATAAAGCTATTTGGCTTAAGAACTTTAATTATATTTGGTTTATGGATGAATCATATGGTAGGAACATATTTAAAAATATATCAAAACTTCAAAAATCGTAAATTGTCTGGCTTAGACATAAATCAGTGGGAAGGTTTAACCAGAATTGGAATAGATTTAATTTTTAATTCGGTAAATAATTATTATACCTAATAAGAAAAAATCTAAATTCCAATCTAGTGATTTTTTTACCTGTTTTTTTTTTAGATCGGTCCATTTGCTCTCGCATTTATATGTGACCTTATTACAGCAGAATCAGACAAGTTACTAGATACTTGTTACGAGCTACAAAATAGATTTGACTTTCGTTCATACGAGTTCCGAGAGTTTCAATGTTTGACGTCATATATAGCAGGCGATAAGATTCGTTTTACGGTAGCAAATGTTTTCGAAATTAATCGGTCCACTCTTTTGTCGGTTATTGCAACTTCGACTACTTACTTTATAGCAATAGTACAATTTTATTAGATAACTTAATAATATATTTTTGTCAATAGATCAATATTACTAAATACAAGAATATAAAAAATGATAGGTAATTATATTATTATTAAATTAATTAATATTCTAAGTACAAAGACATACACCTATAGATAAACATTTAAAAAAATTGTTGGTACACTTCAAAGCAGCTTATGTTAAACTTGGAATAGGTATTACATACGATTGGCACATCTTATTGTATTGTCTATGAAATTACTTATAATTTTGAAATTATTGCTATTGATTCCATTAGAACCTACTTATTTTTTAATTTATATTTGTAGTATCACTTTTCCTTTTTTCATAATAAACTATGTATATGTCGAAGCTCAGGTCTAAATCAGGAATGACAATCATGCTTAACTAAAAAGGTTTGTGATATTTTAAACTATTCCTGTTTTCGAAAATCGCAAGAACTCAAGATGCAGTCCCTCACGGGAAAAATTCGGACTATGAATGATTCTCCATGATTAGAAAAAGCATATTTCAAAGTATGTTTCATGAAAGTTTCAGATCCCCAGCTAATTCTGAAGAAGTTTGACAAAACGCCAAATTTGAAGAAATAATTCTATGGGAGCTCCCTATGAAAATGTCTTTTTTGAATAATTTCTCTGATTTTTCTCATTAACTATTTACATATTGACTATTTTGCATTAGTCTTTGAAAATCGTGAAAATGAATATTTCTATTTTTCATCATTCAAGTGTTTCTTGAAATTGTATCTAATCTAATACAACAGAAAGGAGACTCTCAGTTGAAACAGCAAAAATATTCCTTTTTGAAGACTAAATATAGGGCTTTATGATAACTGTGTACTATTGCCCAAAGTTTTAACAGGATGCACCAAAATCACTCAAAAATTTGTAAACAAAAACTTTTATTATTAATTTCATTAAAATCACATTTCTTTTTGAACAATTTTTAAATAATAGCAGTAACCTAACTAAAGAAAAATTCAAACATCGTTTTTATGACACGGGCAGATAGACAAAGGGGAGCAAGAGCCTGGTCTTGGTAACCCGCCGAAAGCAAAACAAGTACAAAATTTAACTTAACCATCTATAATAATTCAAAAAAGAGCCGATAATTTAAAATAAAAAAGTTATAATACGCTTCAGACATTATGTTGACCTCGTCATCTGTGGATCTATATAGGAATATTAAATTTAATAAATGCAATAATAAATTCAATCGTCGACTGTTATAATTGAGTCATCATCATTATCAGTGTAAATCATGTTATGTAATTCATTTATTGGTTCTTGTTGTTGCTGTTCTATAGTCACTTCCATACTGTTTGTGGGCGTTGTAGGACTCTCATCATCTTCTTCTTCCTGATTCTCAACTATCGTCCCGTCATCACCCGGAGGCTTTAATTTAGCCAACTGTTCTTCAAGCTGCTTATAAATCTTCTTGAAATTCTCCAACGAAGAACTTCGATTTTTTTTCGCGTTCCTGTTGGTCTTTTTCTCCTTTTTTGTCTCGATCTCCAGCTCTTGTATCCACTTTTCCACTTGACTCAGAATCTCGTGCCGCTTCATGTAAAAATGCGCGTGTATCACGTCCTTGAAGCACGGACAAGGATTCAGTATTTGGTCCAACATCGCCCACCGCACCGTGGCCTGACAAATGTTGAGGTTGTAGTCTTTGGAATTGGCAGTACCAGCCGGGGGTACCTCGGGCCCGCTCGTATCCAGGCTCGTTAAAGTACGGTTCCGGTACTAGAATTAAACTTTGTATTGACACTAGGACTTGGAGGAAACTAGACGTTTGAGAATTCCATTTTTCTTCTGGTCTACCATGCCAAGTGTTCAATACCTTTTGACAAAGATTATTGAATTAAAAATCACTTACACTATAAATTAATCAATTACTTACCGATAAGCATACTTTACCGTCATTATATAGGTTAGGATTAAATCGGACTGTATGGTGTCCGGTGGTTTCTAAATTGATCAACATGGGTGAAACGGGGTAGTCAGGTGGGAAAAATACATCCAATTCGAAACAACCATTTGCGTATGGAGTGTCGGCTGGACCAGTGATCAAAACCTACAGAAAATAATTGGTGGAAACAGAATGATTACAAAAATATTCTAATAATGAAAAACTTCATTCTTCAAATATTAAATCTGGTGGTTTTTCAAATCAAATTCCTTACCTTCATGACGTCTAACCGTGACGAATCGTATCGCACAAACACCGAACTGCTGTAACTCAATGGCAAACTAGTAGAAAGTGTAACAGTCTCTTGGGCTATCCTCTTGACGCGTGACGGATGAGACTGCTCAGAAGTCGACAAAACCATCGATTCGAAATGATGCGATATCATAAACTTGATTAGCCCGTCTTGTTGCTCTTCAATCATATCATGAGCAGCTACGAAATAAGAGTCAAAAATTATAAGGTCAACAGTAAATATTACTTACCAAATTGCAAATTCTTCATTATCCTCAAATACTGTTCCTCAGGTGAAACTACACTAAGCCTATCCATAGAATTCTCCATATCCAAATCACTTTCGTCAACCATCCCAAAGGTGACTGTGGCAACAAGGCCCGCCGTGTTTTGAATATCAGGCATCAAAGTAGCTAAGCCTTCTCCCTGTTCAGACTCTTCCATTTTGTCAATTAATAAGGGCGATTTGCCTTTACCGTTTTTCTCGCCTTTTGACTTTTGAGTTTGCAACTTACTCGCGTAAGTGTCTACGCACCTTTTCATGTTTTTAAGCAACGAGCACACTGAAGTTTCACCCGATTTTGATTTTTGTGGCAACAGTAGCTGCACTAACTGAGAACTAACAGCTAAAGCTCGTAAAATTTTCAATATTGCTTTGTACAAGGGTATATGTCTGGCCATGTCCAATACCGAATCGTTTCTCAAATATGAACAAATGGCAGGCAATAAGGAGCTTTTTGCTAATAAGTCGGAAAACTGTGACGGTAGCACTGACCCAATACCTTCGTCGTGAGGCTCGTCGTTGGGATTAATGAAACTGGCTAAAACTTGCAACAAAACAGTAACGTGCTCCTCTTCGTTTTTCTGTTTCATCAGAGCCTGTTCCACGTTCCAGCTTTGTTGCGTGGACCCGGTTCCGAAGCCAGTACCTTTGGCCCAGTACAGTTGCCGTTCCTCTTTGGCTTTGGCTTCTTTTTGAGGGTCTTTTTCGCCCATCGACGTCGAGTGGTGCGTCAAAATACCCAAGCACGCTAATAATAATTGCACGACGCCAGTAGAAATGCTGGTTTTACGTAGAAGGCGTCCATCGTCCGAACATAGGGGAGAACTGTCGTAGAGACGTTGCAACATTTCGAATGGGAGAGTGGGTAAAGTTGTGGCTACTGAAGATAAGAATATGTCTCCACCTAGAAGACGAAAAAAGTCTCGAAAAGTGTGGTTATTTTCCTACACAAAAATGTCTGCCTTCCATTGTATTTTCTCTCAATGAACTGGGGAGTCTCAGGCAAAAAATCCTTGGCACAAGCTTGAAACATTTGAATATCTAGTGGAGTTGGGAAATTTCAAATGCTGAGGGAAACTAGCCCAAAACAACTGAATTTGTAAGATCTATAGAAGTTCTGGCCTGTGAAAGGTGGCAAGTTTGAAAAGTTAAAGGGTATTAATAGCTACTTTGAGGTACGTACTTTATTTAAAATATTTTTGCTAGCGCATAACACACCACATTATTCACTGAACGAAATACATACATATAGTTCGTTTCACGAAGGTTTGTACTTACATCATCGAAAACGTCATAACTTGAAAAAAAGGGTTTTAAAAACCGACAAATGTTTTTGAAGTCATTAATTTATTTCAGTCGATTTTTATTTGTTAAAAAAGAAAGACAAATGATGACATAACTACAAAACTCCGATATAAAACCACCTATATCTATGCGAAATTACTTATTTTGTTTGACTTTAGTTGTAAGGAAAAAGCTGTACATATTTAGGTTTTTCAATAGAGAGATTAATTCATCTAGATATAAAGTAACGTTGAACCATAGATTTACAATCTATAACGACCAAGTTGCACATTATTTCTGTTAGATTATTTAAATTCAATATTAACTGAAGTCATATGAGATATAAGACATAATGAAGCTCCAATTTACCATAAACAAAATCCAATTCAACCGTAAAGCTGCTTACAGCAAAAATCATGCCTACATTCACAATTATTATTCATACCTTCTCCATCGTCAGTGACTCCCAGCATGAGCCTCAAAAGACACAAGGCCCTTTTTGTGTCTTTGAGCAACACTTCGGCGTAGCCGGGCAGCCTCAAAAACAAACCAAAGGCCGTCAAGGAATGAGGCGGAATGTGCGAGATGGATCCCGAACATTTCGGCGAATTGTTGCTCATTGTTTCTTCCATACTTTCGCAAATATCGTCAGGTTCTGGAAACAAACAATTTTATAGTAATTTAAACCATCTCACTGGACTTTGATTAGTAGTATTTTATATTATGAGCCAGTTGATAAAATTTGTACAATACAAGTGTGATAACCACTATTATGAAACTTGTGTTGCAAAAAAGCCACATTAGTATTTTAGTAATGTTTTTTTTTAATACTGCAGATGACTTACGTAAAATATAATTTTGGATTTTTTTGGTATTTTTATCGAAACAGAAACAATCTTACGTGAAATATTTGTGTCACTTGTACATACAGGGTGGCCCGTTTATTTTGTCCTATCTCGGTATACAGGGTGATTCAAAAGTAAGCGGCATCCTTTCGGAGGCGTATTACCTTGCATAAAAATAAGACACAAAGTTCCTATTAACATGGGTCCGGAAATGCTTCCTAAGGGAGCTACGAGCCTTCGAATAGGACACCTGAAAGACGTGTTTTTCTGTATAACTTTGAAACCCTTCACAGATGGATTTTGGAAATTGGTCTATTTTATAAACATTTGATGGCAATTAAGATACTAAATTGAAAATTCAAAAATCTTAATCAGTGTCACATACTGGGAGAGTGAAAACATCTCAATTTTTTTTTTTACTCCTCAGGTACTCAAGATAAAAATATTGAAATTTAATTTATTTAAAAATTTAATGCAATACCTATTACATAGTTATATCAATCTTAATACAATTTCCTAATACTGCTAACATTATTAGATGCACAATGGTATTTATAATACTGTGTGTGCACCCCATTAAACTTAATTCATTTAAAATATTTTGAGGTTTGTACTTTCATTTAATATTTTAGGTTTTAATACAATTTAATAAATAACAACTTCAACATTTCAGATGTAATTTCTTTATACAATAAATTTCTTCCTATCTTCAAATATACCAATAATTGTTTGTTTGCACTTTTTATATCACATAATTAATCCTATATCCACTATCAACAATCCATTTTGTTAAGGGTTTTTTAATTTTATAATATTTTTTTTGTTTAAAGCTATCAGGTAAGTCATTGTAAATCTTTGGACCCACACAGTAAATGTGATTTTGACAGGCTGTGTGCTTGGGGTTCTGCAGTTCAACCTTTCCTTGTATTTTGTCCGTGTTTTAAATTTTCTTTGTAGTAGTTGTTCTTTATCATGAATCTCAAGACTGATTTTAAATAAAGCTGTTCTATGGTTAGAACATTACTATCTTTGTGAGTAATAGCTGTAGGATATCTTTTTTTCTTAAACAGCATAGTCTTTAAATCCATCTTTGGGATACCTGTCATTTTGATAGAGTTGTTGTGCCTGCATTCCCCCACAACACCAAACCATAGTTTATCATGGACTCCACTAACGCACAATAAATTGTCTTTAACGTTTTTAATGTTAACATTTTTCTTAGTTCATAGAATTTGTATATATTAGTTTCCTTACTTTTGCAGTTATATACTCAACATGTTCTTTCCAAGTTAGTTTTTCATCCAAAATAACTCCAAGGTATCTTAGGCTAGACTTTCTTTTTATGATCATATCACACTCACAATGTAGGCCCAAATCACATTTTGAATCATGAACTTTAATGCACTCGAAATCTGGCAGTGAGCGAGAGGCGAAAAAGCCACAAAATTGGTTTTCTCTACATTAAGGGAAAGTAAACTTTCATCTAACCAGTTCTTAATTTTTTTTTAATGCTTTTTTTTCCTTTAGTTTAGTAATTTCCCAGTCGTTACCACTTATTGAAATACTTGTATCGTCAGCAAAACAATAGGTATTGATATTTTCATCATCCAGCTGCTCCATTATGCCATTTATGTAAATGTTGAACAACAAAGTTGAGAGCACTGTACCTTGTAGCACACCAAATTCTACCTGCAATGCATTACTTTCTTGTCCAGAGACAACTGTGGTTTGTTTCCTCTCAGCCATATACGACTTGATAAAGTTATTTGGAATACCCCTGACTCCCACACTCTAATCGTTTCAATAAAATTTGGTGCTCCACGGTGTAAACGCTTTTCTCAAATCCAGAAAAACCCCTACCACTTTTTTCCCCTGATCTAGATTTTTTAGTATCTCTTCTGTAACCTTTACAAGAGCATTTTCAGTATTTGCATGATCCCTGAAACCAAATTGATTTGAGTTGGGAAGGCAATTTTTCTCTAAAAAGGTGTTTAATTTTCTCCTAAAGCATTTCTCACTGATTTTACTCACTGTACTAGTCGAAGAAATTGGTCTATAGTTATTTAATAATTTTTTATCACCTTGCTTGTATAAGGGTATGATTTTAGTATTTTTCAATATATCAGGGAAAATACCAGCAGCAAATGATAGATTTGTTATGTGCTTAAGCGGAATGCTGAGATTTTCTTTAAATGTTTTTATTACTTTAGATGAAATAGCATCATTTCCACCCTTTAGCTCATTCTTAAGGCTCATCACTTCTCTAATGTTGTAAGGTTTATATAATTAATTTGTGTTTTTGTTTTTGCGCATACAGTGTGTCCCGCTTAAGGACTGACCACCCTTTAAAATTTTTATTTTTCAACCGATTCAATTCATTTTTTTTTTGTCTTGTAGCTACTCGAATTTGGCACTTATTAGGCTCATAATTTCATTTCTACGGCTGCACTGGTTTACAGGGTGTCCACATGTATAGGCTCAAATTTCAATAAGTACTATTAGGGATTTTTTAGAAAAAATCTGATAGCAGATTCTTGTTTAGAATGGTCTAAAACCCTAATGTACGAATTTTTGTTCCAATAGGATACAGGGTGATCACAACAAATTTTTAAAATTTAATGGATCAAACCGTAAAAATTTTATATTTTGAGACAAGCTTACTACAAGTTTTGGTTAAGGATGTTCGAAAACTATGTTGTATCAAGTTTTGTTGTTCTCAAGACCTCAAAATATGAAATTTTCTGGTTTGGTTCATTAAATTTTGAAAATTTGTTGTGATCACCCTGTGTCCTATTGGAACAAAAATTCGTACATTAGGGTTTTAGACCATTCTAAACAAGAATCTGCTATCAGATTTTTTCTAAAAAAATCCCTAATAGTACTTATTGAAATTTGAGCCTATAAATGTGGACACCCTGTAAACCAGTGCAGCCGTAGAAATAAAATTATGAGCCTAATAAGTGCCAAATTCGAGTAGCTACAAGACAAAAAAAAATTAATTGAATTGGTTGAAAAATAAAAATTTTAGAAGGGTGGTCAGTCCTTAAGCGGGACACACTGTATACAGGGGGTGTCAAAAAAGTGTGACACATCACTTTTATTTATTTTTCAATGGAACACCCTGTATATTTTTATATTTTTTGATAGCGCTTTTAAAGACAAATATAAATATATAGGTATAGTTTAATAGGGTTGTTATGCACGGTTTCGGATTTATTTACGGTTATCTTCGGGGAATGACCAATTTTCAGATTATTGAAGAAACGTTAAAAATAAATATTTTAAAGTCCGACTTTGACTAAAAGGAAACATATCATCTTTGTCAACTAATTGAATAGTGAAAATAAGTTAATTCAGTTTGTGTTCCGGTGTTGCCAAACTTTAAAAATTGTGGTTTTCTTAAGTTTTTTTTAAATGCCAAACCCTGTATGTATATTAGATGCGTAATGAAAAGTACTAGGTACTTTAAAACAAACTTTTTTTGCTTAACACGTTACACAGGGCGTTTGAAATGAAGTCGGCACTATTGCTAACTCGCTTATTATAAGAGTTACAAAATCAGTTAAATTGGAAAACTAGCAGCATTTCTTCCACTAAATGAAATGGTGAAAACCGAAAAACAATTGGGCATCGCGTTTTCGAGATATTTTTGAATATTAACTTTTTTCAATGGAGCACCCTATATATTTTCTGTTAGTTTGATTGCAAAACATTTTTTTCTCACCAAAAAAGTTCCTTGCACTATGGATTATTTCAAATTTTACATTTTGTCAAGTTGGCCATGCATTGTTATTTTAAAAAGTACTTTCATCCCACATTTAATATACAGGATGTGCGATTTTGAAAAATGAACAACAACGATAATTTTTAAAGTTTAGCAACACTGCAACACAAACCCAATTAACTTATTTTTAACAATTACTTGACAACGTAGACGATATATGTTTCCTTTTGGTCAAAGTCCAACTTGAAAATATTTATTTTTAATGTTTCTACAATAATTAAAAAATTGGGCTTACCCTGAAGATAACCGGAGGAAGGTCGTCCTTTGGATGCGATTTCATCAGAAATCGGACGAAAAAGTGCGAATGATCCCATTTCAGTTAAACCCAATGACGGTTGTGTATACACTTGGCTAATCATAAAACTGGTACGCCTTTTCCTATTGTGTGGTATTGTGTAAATCGACCTTTTTTATCACTTAAAAAATGACAAAAAGGGTCAAGTCAGTGTCATCTTTAAACCAAACATAACATAAAAACATGTTGCATTTACTTTTGTTCAGTTTTGACATTAACAAAAACTGTCTGACCTAAGTTTTTCAGAAGAGACTTTTTGTTGTTGAGCCTGACTCACACTCGGCAAATTTAAAAAATATATACAGGGTGAGTTCGAAATAAGTGCCCATTTTATTATGATAGATAGAGTATAGTAGGAGGACAGTCACTTTTTGTATAGGAGCATGTGCCCGCAAACGTCTCGTTAAGAAAATACAGGGTGTTGAAATGTTCGGGAAATTTTGACTTTTTGCCTTTATAGTCTGTCCAACCAACCTGCGGAGTGAAAAACAACAAAACCTTCAAAAAGTTTCGTTACTATTGGTCATTTATCAGCCCGCTTCACACTGTAGAGTGGTGTTTTGTAAGATTTTAAAATAAATAAATGGCATAAATCAGTGTTCAGTGTAAACCTGGCCGCCATTTTGACTCTGTCATACTCCGTAGGTTCGTTGGACAGAGTTTAGATTCAAAATGCTTCATTGTTGTTTAGTTTTCGGTGTCATGTGAACAGAGTGGAGTATATCGAACAA